TTTGTTGAAAACTTTATGTGATATTCAAATATTTGTGAAGTATTTTATGAGGCCTGATTTCTGACCAATTATTTGAATTTAAAAGTTCACATTTGTTATGCATAATATAATCCTGTTTGTATTCATGTATATGCACACTCCATAATTCAAATTGAAACTATTTACAGTATCAAAATTGTAATAATTCAAACTTGGAAATTTTCGCACTGACCTTAATTTTGATTATTCCACAATCACAAAAAATGAGCAAAAGTTTTGTCGGCTGGAAAAGTATGTAAAAATTAACAATACTGATGTGAAGGGTGCACTTATTATTTAATGAACAGATTAAAACCCAGTTCGGAATGTTTATGCTTTAAAATCCCTTAAACATCCACGTAAATAGGTCTTCTGCTTTGATTATTTAAATCTAGATGTGTTACTCACCTGCCTTTAATTTTTTTATTTATTTTGTAAATTGTTTTTTTTTTCAATAGTCTTAGTCTTTCACTTCGTCATTTCAATCACATTTGTATGCATCCATCAGCTGTTACATCTAACATGATCTTTAAAACGTTTTTGAATTCGTGGTAACTACATTAACAGGTTGCTGATGGACATTGCAGTCTTGTAAAAATGAGGAATCAGAATCATTATATAAGAGATGTTGCGTAGAACGAAGTCCTGGGAATAAGTCAAGCAAGGTATCAGTTACTTGCTGTCATCACTGAAATTTTGACGTCTATTAGTATTTCTGGAGGTTATGTTTATATTGATATTTTAATGAAGGGGTGTGACATCAACTATATGGAATCTACCATGGATGACTACTGAAATCAAACAGCTAATCCGTAAAAAACAACGCTTATACAATAAAGCCGAAAAATCAGAAGACAGTTGCAAGGAGAAATGGAAGGGTTTCACTTCACATGGAAATTTGACTTTAAAATTATCTAAACAACATTTACCATGAGTACAGACAGTTTCAATAACAAGTATAATTAAGAATAATAAAAGGTATCCAGGAAACAAAATAAGAAGATTTGAAAGATTAAACAAATGCATTCAGATTATAAAGCAAACTGAGTCCTAAATTTATATTGAGATTGGTTTGTGCAATTTCTATTAGACATCCAGTTTGCATAAACTGGGATTTGCAATAAGATTAAGAAAAAAGGATGTACACTCTCAAGTAATAAATAAGATAATCAAGCCTTAAAAGGTAAATTCAAATAGTAGCTGTATCTATACACTTTTCTATTCACAACTAAAATCAAACATTGCTTTCAATTGACTTGTGCAAGAATCTACACACAATTACATATTTTTCAATAAAAGTGTTTTAACATCATCATTACATATTGATTTTGTAAAAGTTAAAGTAAGTATTATGTGCATGTGCTAATGTTTTCTTTTAGCACTATTCCAGTTAGGTTATTTTGATCCTGTTGCTTTTTTTTATTCATATTTTTTCATTATTTTATATATACCTTCTCTGTTGATGTCTATGTTGTCCATTGTTGGAGGGGACTCGGTGGCCGAGGGGTCAAATAGCCGAACTACTGTATCACTAGCCAGTGAACACTGAGGTTGTGAGTTCGAATCCCGCACTAGACAGGTGCACCCGACTCCAATCTTAATAGACTAGGATTGACAGTTTTCCTACTTAAGGTAGGTAGTTCTCCCCGGGTACTCTGGCTTTCTCATCCAATAAAAACTGAACGCCACGAAATAGCAGAATAGTGCCAAATTTGGCGTTAAATATCAATCAACCAATCAATCAATCAATTGTTGGGTGTGTTGATAGACCTTTGTCAGTTATTATTGTATTAGTCTCAGATGTAAATGCTGATTTAAACTGTTCGTTAAGATGTTTGCTTTTTTCTAAGGCATCTGTATAAGGGTGCAATTCCAATGTTTTTATTGTTTTTGGTCTTTTTGTGTATTGAATCTGATTTTCGGGATCATGTACTGTAAAAGTACTTTTATTCGTGGGGTAACAGTTTTCGTGGTTTTTGTGGATGGCTTTATACATGAATCTAAGTGTTTAGCGAAATATAACAACTGTTTTCCAATTCCAGACATGGAAAGATCCCCATGTAGGTCTGACTACATGGATACAGTAATATAAGCCAACGCACTATGAACTAAATATACATGGTTTGTACAAATTCAAACTGGATTTTAACCATTTAATCTGTGAAAAATCTAAAATGTACGACTGTTAACCTTTTAATTATCATGAGAAATAAGTTCTGATCGATGAAAGTCAGATTTCCGGTGATGATATGCGATATTGAAGTGTTCATTTTTTTTAATAATTCTCATACGAAAAAAAATAATGATTTCATTTGGGGCTTTCTTTTTTATTTCATAATGATTAATTCTCCAACTCAAAGTACATTTGTAGCATTTTCTTATATGTAACCGTTTTCGTTAAGTGACATGTTAATTGCCCAATTAATACTTTGGTGATCTGTTGATTGATTGGTCTCAGGTTAATAAGTGTCAGAACTTCTGATTACACGTGTGCAATATCTTTAATGTTTACTCTGCATTTTCCTTCAATCGAGACAATTTGTAAGCATAGATGAATCAGCTTATTTCAAAAAAGCAGTTATTTTACAGAGGCGGATTTTGGGGGGTGCCCGGGCCCCCTTTTGTGGGAAAAATTTTGTTGATTATGTAGGGAATCACTGAAACATGATTGGAGCGGGCCCCTCTTATGCAGTCAGTGGCCCCCCCCCCCCCCCCCCCCCTCCCCCTCCCCCCTTTTACGAAGATTTCTGGATCCACCACTGTTTTATTAAAAATGTTAAGAATTTTGTTAATAATGAAAGACGAACAAGTGAGTGTAAATGAACACCTTATTTTACAATGTCTCACAATCAGTATAAAACCACAAAAATTGATACCCACGATTAAAGTACTTCAATGTCATATATCATGTTTTCAATATATTTCCAGTTGGCATTTCGCATTTCTTTCTGTAATTGTGTTTTAATTTGTTTGATTTTTTTTTGTGTTTACCATCATGTTTTTTCTTTCCATATAATTTGTTTAACTCTATCCATGGTAGATGAGTTTTGTTACCTCTTAGCCTGATTGGTATATGCTTTTGTAAACTTTCTTTTGTTTTTTATTTGAATTAATTCAACATATATCTTCTGACTGGTGTTCTTTCATATTGTGTACGTATCCTCTAAGTTTTTTTCCAATATTTTCCCAGTCTGCTCTGTCGCAGATGAATACTTTGAGTGGCTATTGACAGGGAAATGTTTATTTTACTGAACATTATATCATGGTCTCCTATTGGTGGTTCTGTTTTTATTCTATTTACTAGAGATGGACTTATCATGCACAGTAGATCAAGTGTGCGGTCGTTTCTTGTAGTAATCAGAAAGTTTGTATATTCATTGAAAGAGTTTTTATGTAGTAATGATCAAGTCGTTTTTGTTATAAATGATAGTTTGATAAATGAATAAGGAATCATTTTTTCTTCTTCGTCTAATCAAATTCTTGTGTCTATATTTGTGGGACTTTTATTTTTATGACTCTAAATTAAATCATTTGGTAGTTTTATTCAAAGAATTAAGAAGCTATATGTAAATGATTTTTTCATCGAAGTTTGTATAAAACCTCACTACAGCGTACAGAAGTTCTTACATTTCTTCTCTACATGTTTATATTTTTTTTAAATTGAAAAGGGGGATGCAAAATTACGCAATTGCCCCTTCTGCCTATGTGATTACACGTATGAATACTACTGTCATTTTTATTTATAAGTACAATGTTTGTAAATGGAAATTCCCGACCGAAAGTACAAATCAATTGAAACTGTATCCAAACATCAAAACATTATTAGAATTGCGGTCATGAAGTATCTCTTTGGATATGAAACAATCTCAATAGTGTATACTTCAATTTGTTTTCGAACACTTAAAGTGACGTTTCGGAGTTCCACGTATAAGGAAGTATTTTGACGGAAGTACTTATTCTTTGTAATTGAAACCAGAGACATATAATAATATAATGATTGTATTATATGTCTCTGTTGAAACTTATCACGTTGATGAATTTAGAAATTATGTTTAACTAAGGTTCCAATTTGGTTTAAGAAAATTTTCATTATTCTTTTAAATTCTTTTCTTTTTTTTTTTGTCGTTAAGCTATTCAAATATTCACATGTATACATATTCGATTTTTGGGGGGTCATTTAGCATCCTTGATGAAGGTAAATTTTAAAAAAGCGTTCCGGAAGCACAATTTCTATCAATATTACATATGGTGTAGCATTCTTCTTTTTTCATTGGTTATTACGATCACTTGTTTCAAAGGGTATTCCATGTACCTGAGGCCGTGTTATTATTTTTAAGTATATGGACGCTATATATGTTTATATTTATATATATAATGACGGTCAATATTAAAAATCTTACAAAATACAATGTAAAATACACAGAAAGAATATTGAAGTCCATTTCCATAATACACTATTTACATATGTAATATATAAATTAAGGAATTTTCACTCTGCCAATACGTTATATATATATAGACCTGTTAGATTAAATTGACACTCGGACTTCGTCCAGGGTCAAAATAATCTGAACAATGTGCATATATTATGTATTGACCTCGTCAAAAGTCCATAATTTATAAAAAGTTATTTTTATATAAATTTAATTTTGATATAGTTTTGTTATTTTTTTAGGTCCCTTTTGGTCATTTAGCTCCTCAATTAATTACACACAATCCGCTTTCCTTTTAGGGGTGGTGGGGGATTCTCTCGTAGGTCATCCCAGAAAAGCGTTTTGAATGCACCAAATCTATAAAGTGTCAAGGACGTCTAATATACGTCCTTGAAAGTGTCAACTTAATTATATAAAAATATCAATCTTCTAACCTCGGGTGATTCCGCTTCTCTCCGTTCGAATCAGCCGAGGTGTGTGACGAATGATATAAATAGTAAATATTCGACTGTTCCCGACGTTGAAACGAAAATTGCCGAAGTAATATGATTGGTTCTTGCCCGACTATTTTACTTACTCCTACATAGAAATGCACATTTAATTTGCTGCATGAGAATTGAATAGATCGGCGGTTTATTCAGAGAAAGGTAAGGTTTTTATGATAAAAGTGTGTACTACATTTTAAAAGGAAATGCGGTGCTTATAAATGAATGTTACCTGATATGTGAATTTATAATTTTATCTTTATAATCAATTTTTTGCTAATGAAATATACTAAATGTTTAAAGTAGTTTCAACCATCTGTGCTTTGATACTAACCTTTACTTGCAAATAAGTCTTAACACCATTTCCTACATTTACTCAATTCTAATATTAATTCTGTAAATCAGAACGCATATTTTATGAACTTTACAAGAACTTTGCGGTAAAGGAAAAATACAATGAATTGATGCATGGCAGAATTGCACAAGTTGTACACAAAAAACAGCCAAATTGTTTTTATACTTGCATAACTGTTATCGACCATTTCAATAATGAAAAATATTATGATTTACGGAGGCACCAAGTATTAAACCCACAAAACATCGTCAATAGTGTGCCATGATGACAGCTTCAAACCTTTTCAATCGTAATGTAATAAATTGCATAGTACGATAGCATTATAAAACAGGCATTCGTTTAATTTCTTTTTTTTTTATTGAGAGAAGATGATCAACTGCCGGGTCCTTGTTGGTCAAGGAATAACAAATATGGAAAATCAAAAATATAATGCCTGTAGTGACGGAAATATTCTACAGGCGATAATGATACAAGAAACATTGATTGTTTAGAACAATATTTCTGATAATAGCAGTATTTAGTCTGCAGCACTATGATATAAGTCTAATACAAACGTAAACCATATCGAAATAAACGAAAGATTGATTTCCGAAATGTGCCGATGATTACCGAAGTATAGCGATTTAGTCTTGTTACATTCTTCAAATATTATTTTCACTCACCTCAATAGTTTTTTTGGAGGGTGCTCGCATTGAGTGCGGATGGTCATTGGTTCGTTGCCCAGTTGTGTCAAACTTATGGTCTACAGAACTGGCCTTTGCTACTTCGTCGCCAAGATTGAACACACCGCTTGGCTGTCTAGAACAAAGCAGCTAGGGTGTATTTATATATCATTAACAGATTTTCGTGCTGTAAATACATATAAAATTTGCCGTTGATCGCAATCATCAATAAGTTAACATTTTATTTCATTCTAGCAATCATTCTATCAAGCTATCAAGTTTGCAATTTTTCAAAACTTTTAATCTAAACATGCAGCATGGCTCAAGCGGAATATCGAAAATGTTGGTATCTTGCATATCTGATAGAGGTTACTCGATGAAAAAAAAAAACATGTGTTGTGCCTACTGTTATCATATTAGTTTTCGATAGAGTAAAACAAGGATCAATAGTTTAAAAAAAAACTCTAATTCTAATTTTTCACAACACAAGAAAAATAATGTACTTAGGATTGTTTGTTTCAAAAAACATTTGTTTTTCTTTTCCAGCATTGATTGTCAGATTGAACTCCAATTTTCGGAAGATGAAAACCCTGATAGTATTTTGTTGCCTTGTGGCTGCAAGTTTTGCTTCTCCTTTTAAATTTAAATTTAAGCAAGGATCTGCCATTTATGAGGCAATTGCCAAAACTACATCGGTAAGTAGAATATATACTGGATATTGAAAATTGCTGACAATCTAACAGAGATTTGAAGAAAAAAAAACAGAATCATAAACAGATGGTTTTAACGACGATAGAAGTAAATCGAATAGTTTCATCATATCATTAAAGTCCAGAACGGACTAACGAATAGTTTTCAAAAACAGCAACAATGCCAATGTAAGATAAATACTACGTTTCTGGGACTTTTTTTCCCCCTTAAAGTTAACATTTAACTGTTTTACCGGTAATGATTACTTAAAGGGAAGTCGATGTATTTGTATTGTTATTTTTTTTTATGTTTTTGAGATAATGTATATTGTAGATTGATATGCGATATTTGAAAGATCATAAAATAAAACAAACTGCAGTGCTTGTTTCGAAAATAATTAGGTTCAAAATTTGAATTTTGTTGGCTTCATTTGATTTCCTGACAATTTTAAGATTATTTAAAATTGGTAATTTTATCAATGAAAGAGTCAATTAGATTTATCTAAAAACTCTTGTGAATATGCTTCTTTTATTTAAACTCTGAAAATATGTTTCCCCAAATGTCGACTCATATTGTCAATTTGAAATTCAAAGTTTTAAGTCAATGCTATTGTGACTACTCCTTTAACATGTCTTGATATCATTTTCGTACGCTCGTCAATTTTAATGACGTCTCCCACCAATATCCAGATGCAGTTCATAATAAGCCTTCAATTCTGACAAATCAAATGTTTGTTTTCGGTTTCATCAACCATCAATGGGTTATTTTGAGGATTGAATTATTGTCCAGATTTTGGCCCGGTAAGGAGTTTCAGATATTACAATTTCATCAAAGAAAAAAAATTTCGCGTTTAGAGTTATCTCCACGGAAACTCCCCTTAATTAATTCCTTTGATGCTACATAAAATAAACTAATATCACCAGGTAAGCAAATATTTAGTTCCCACATTTGTCTAGTTAAAACATGTATTTTGAGATAACGAATAGAAAAATAAGTTGCAAACTTTATTAACGAAGCTGCTTAAACAACGCATATCTAGATCAAATTGATACACTTAAAATATAACTACATCTACTGATCATATAGTAGTAACATTTGTTTGTGTTAAATGCTGTCGTTTGAAAACTGATGATAAATGATATTCTATTGAACGAACATCAACGATGAGAGTTAAACATATTTGCGTTGGAGAGGAGTATATACATTTTCATGTGATCTAACTGACAACACAAACTATCAACACCCTTAAGTTAACAGTTTTGTGTATGACTACGGGCCTCCGCTCCATTATTTCCCAGGAATGGACAGTTATTTGGACATTCTGTATAACGTAAAAACAGAAATCAATCATTGGACTTGAAATGAGACAACTGAATAAAATTATCCATCGAATAGCCTGCATTAGCAATGGTTTGCTGCTTCATATGAACAGACGACATTTTTTTTTTTGCAGACGTGTTGCCCACATTTGAACTACATTTCGAAATCCGCGGGGGACAAGTTGAAAATTACCGAGCGTTGGAGGTGAATTTTCTGAAAATTAGCGATTCACATTTTAAGTTGCATTTTTAAAATTTTCCCAAAAATAAGCAAAGTTACTAATAATTTTTATGTATTTAAAATGCACAATGAGAAATCATGTATGAAATGACTTAAAAGTAATAATACAAGAACCATATAAAATTGCTAACAAATATACAATTTGTTGGTATGTATTTTGTATATACAAAGATGCTGACATGTGAATTTATTTTCTTTTATACGCATTTATCGATAAAATACGATTATAATAAAAATAATTTGGTTATTACCGAAGAAACATTACTTTGTAAATTTAAAGTTGACGAAAAAATGCAATGAAATTTACAAAAAAAAATAATAATTTCTCAAAACAAATTATAATGATAACAAAATCTGCATTGTTTTGTTTGTGACCTGGTCTAATCTCGCCTACAACAGTTTTCGTGTTATCAAAAAAGGAACAATTCAAGTTCAACCTGTATCGATTCTCCTTAATCCTACTTTTAAACGTTAAATCCTCCAAAGTGATTTGTTAATGTATAATCGATTTATACCATTGAATTTATCAGTCAATATACTTGTTATTAAAATGATTTTTTTTCAATTAATTAACACAGTAGTTTGTTCCGATCTTAAATCTTCACGCCATGTATATCCTAAAATTTACAAAAAAATAATAATTTCTCAAAACAAATTATAATGATAACAAAATCTGCATTGTTTTGTTTGTGACCTGGTCTAATCTCGCCTACAACAGTTTTCGTGTTATCAAAAAAGGAACAATTCAAGTTCAACCTGTATCGACTCTCCTTAATCCTACTTTTAAACGTTAAATCCTCCAAAGTGATTTTTTAATGTATAATCGATTTATACCATTGAATTTATCAGTCAATATACTTGTTATTAAAATGAGTTTTTTTCAATTAATTAACACAGTAGTTTGTTCCGATCTTAAATCTTCACGCCATGTATATCCTATTCATATACCCATATCATTGGCTGTTAACTCTATGAAAAAGTAAATTGTACAAATTTTCAAAACAGATGGTACAAAAGAGAGACACTGTAAAGAGAGATGCCATTGCCATGGCTTTTAGATGGATTGATACAAATAGGGATGACCACATTGATGGTAATGAATTTGCCACATTTTATGCAAATGCAAACATACCTGGACTGGACTACAGCAGGACTCGATGGAGACAATTGTTCTACTTAGCCATGCCTCAAGCTGACACAAACGGGAATGAAGAGCTAGAGATTGGCGGTAAGCTTGATGCTATCCTTATATAAAAATAAAGAATAGTAAATATTAAAAGCACTGGCATAATAAAATTTGAAAAAAAAATCATACAAGATAACCAAAGCCCTGATTATCAACCAAGCAATAAACGAAAAACAATTATGGCAGGCAGCAACCAACGACAGCCATTGGATTACAGGTTCCTGATTTTAGACAGGCACACAAAGAGTATGGTGGGTCAAAATGTTTGTTAGCACAAACTGCTCACATAAGTTGGGACAGTAGTGTATTAACGTTAAATATATACATATCATTGATATTACTTCCATGTTACATCCAGGATTTGAACATCATTTCTTTATAAAGAGTCTTACATAATCAAGTTTCATGATATGCAGATCTACTCATACTGACACCTTGCAAAAATGAAAACGTGTATTATGTTATGACATCATTGAGGTTTGCGTAATATCAACTTTTCGATTTAAAAGACTGGCATATTGTAAGCATGAAAATATTTGCTCTATTTATTGAGCATTGCGATATGTGTTATACAATTCTATAAGTAAACATAAATTAACTTTTTTCTTGTACAGTGGCATTGTTAGGCATAATGCAAATGACTTGCGCAATTCTGTCAAAAGCATTCAATAGGTCCTAAATAATTCGTGTGTAAACTTTTCGAAAATGAAATTTTCTTTTGCATTTACAGACTGTTGATCTATTTAAGTTCAGGGGCGGATCCAGGATTTAAATTAAAGAAATATTGCCGAACTTCGCGAGGCCAAAAAAGTTTTGTACGATTTTATGTTAAATAATGATATATTTTCCAACCAAGGAGGGGGTGTACACACCCTACGCCCCCGCCTGAATCTGCCACTGAAGTCTGTCGCTAATTGAACATGCATGATAAATAAGATTGCGTTATTTATTTAAGGTATAAGCCTCTTGAGAATTTGGTGTTAATCTTAGATATGAGGTCATCTCTTAATATTATCTATTCGAATCGAAAAGATTGTGGGTAATTAATTTCAATATAGGTACCCCAAAATTAATATAATATAACGCCATTGGTTGGTAACCATTGTTTACAGATCACGATCCTTTGGTATACAATTTTGAAAACATTACTTAGAATGCATTAAATTTTTAAAGGGAAAATAAAATACTTGTTTAGACAAAAGGCAATTAGAGTCCATACAGTGTTGTCATTTGTGAATCATTGAAACAATGAAGATACCGAGGATGCAATCAGAAACCATAAGTCGAAGACACGTCAAAAGATATGTCAGTCAAAATTGTCCCCAGCCCAAAAGATATGTCAGTTAAAATTGTCCCCAGCCCAAGTATGTAAGTTCATTTAACAGATATTACTACAGTATAAAATTGAGAATGGAAAGGAGGAATGTGTCAAAGAGACAACAACCCGACCAAAGAACAGACAACAGCCCAATGCCACCAATGGATCTTCTACAGAACGAGAAAATCCCGCACCCGGAGGCGGGTTTCAGCTGTATTAATTTGTTCAGTTGAGGTTCTGACTCCTTGTGTTTACCAAATGTTTCCTTTTTCTGATAAATAACATCTGAAAAGCCATTATAATGATAATATTAATAAAAATAATGAATTAGATGATAAAAAATAATGAAATAGATGATAAAAAAATAATGAAATAGATAATAAAAATAATGAAATTAATAATAAAAATAAGATAGACTGAAAGTTAATTAAAATCCTTATCATCCATGGTTCACCATTGTCACGTTTCTCTACAGCAGTGTTGGATTATGTTTGGTGTTTTTCTTTTTGTTTACCTACCAGTAATTACACAATTCAAAATCACTAGTTATGTGAGTGAAACAATACTATGTCTTAGCCGAAGGTTAAATTACGATTATCAACAACCATAGATTGATTCTTTTTTTCAATACTCTCTAGCCGACATTGTGAAAAATCCATTATACTTACGGCTTATATTTATTCATTTGTATTTCTTTTGCAGAATTCCGTTCGTTAGCAGAACGTGGAATGAGAGGATATTAAAGACAGAATGTGACAACGTTCCACCCGTTATTCTCACAGTCATTACAGTGAAATTGACTTAAAAGTCTGATTCCAAATTGACTATTTTCAGTTCTGACTTTAAACAAAACTTGTGTTTATTTTTCAAAAATGCTTAACAAGTCATTTGTCCGTTTTAACGAAAGCTGCACTTCCCGAAATCAAAATTAATTTTCAACAAATTTTTTAACACACGAATGTGAAATTGGCCTATTTATTTACCCGTTTCAAAATCTAAAGCCTGCTTACATTTTTTTTTAAAGTTGCTTATCATTTGCTCTCTTGTGGATAGTTGCCTCGCTGGCAATCATACAACATCTTTTTTTTAATTTTTATATTAACAAAATTTAAAGAGTGTTAACCAAAACTGTGTTAATTGTTGACGGTGTCTTTATCAAATAAAGTACAAGCAAATTATAGTTTCTTATTGTTTCAGGAACCAATAAAATTATAAACGTGTGTGCCTGTTTGTTTGTTTTTTCGTTTAGGCAGCTGGTTTAATGGGGCATCGTAGTTCATCCCTTTTTATTTTTGTTGTATTTTGTTAATCCCGCCAATTCTAAGTGTGCTTGTCCCAACCTGTAATACAGTGGTTATTGTTAGTTGCTGTCTGTCGTATTATTTATCGGTTTTTTTATTGTTTTTAATAAATCAGGCCGTTGGTTTTTCATTTTATTTTTCAAAAACTTTTCAGAAATTAATGACTTAAAGACATTTTATCTTAAATTGGAAGTTATGCATTTTCAAGATAAAACAGCTAATGTAAAATAAGGTGATGTGGTATGATTGCAAATGAGATAACTATCCAACAGAGTCCAAAATAAAGCGATTTTTACCAACTTCATGTCACAGTACGGCCTTCAAAACTCTATACTCATCTATAAAAGGCCTCGACAAGACAAAATGAGAAACAATTCAAACGTAAAAAAAACAACGGCCTGATTTATAAAAAACAAACAAAAAACGATAAATAATGCGGCAGACAGCAACCAACAACAACCATTGAATTACAGGTTGGGACAAGCAAATAAAGAATTGGCGGGATTAAAAATGTTGGTGAGTGCTCAATCATCTCTTTAAACAGGGACAGCGGTGCAACAGCACAACATGAAAAGTGAACTGTAAAAAAAAGTTTGAAATTGTTTGACTCATCAGGTCGGCACGAACCACAAAAAAAAACCTACATTTAGACAAGAAGCACAAATTACCGATGTAGGAGTACTTGCAAAGGCTAGTTCAAAGCCAATAACAACTAATGATATAATCATGTTCTCTAGACTAAATAATCAATCAGTACACATCCAACGGATTTGGTGTAAAGACATCATAAACAGTCTGACAAAAGCATGACCTTGTGAAATGCCAAAATATAAGTACATAATATCGCCAGAATGTAGGACCATACGTTTTCATTATTGTATAGGGAAGCATATTTAGTTTTGTTTCAATTTATCAAAAACAAAATCAATATTGGTTCCGATAAAAACAATATTCAAATATCTTAATATGGTGTCAAATCAACAATGAGTTTATCTGGATCGCATCTCAATTTACGTGCTTTATAAACAACATTACCGTAAATATTAGGATATGTTATCCCGTTTTTTTAATATGGCTTCTACAAGTACAATTCAAAATCGAATCTTTACATCTATGAATAAAGATTAGTAAAAGTGTTTTCCCCCGTGTGAAACTAAAATATAAAATCTAGAAAAATACAATTATGGCCGTTCATATTAGATTGAGTTTTTTAGGTTTATTTCTGCAGTATGATTAGAAAGTTCTTGATTATTCACACCAAAAACACCATCCATCTAGGTAACGGTAAATGTTATCAAATTTATTGATTGATTGGAGTTTTGCAATAACCTGTGAGTGATTCATAACAATACAAGAACATGTCTGCTATAAAAGGGGGGTAATTAAGGTCCATAGGAAAACATACTAACATCCTTTTTCTAAGTGCTTTGTAAACTTTATTTCGGCTGGTGTTTTAAGTTTGCTTTTATTTTTGAAAATCATTTTAGATACATATAAAAAAAAGACATTCCAGATAATGAAGGGAAATTCATAACAAGTGCTCCGGACGTACGAAATTTATAAAACATTATATTCATTTACAATTAAAATTTATTGTTTAAAGAAATCAGAGACGATTAATGGTTACACAACTTATTGCGACTATACATTTAAATGTATTCTAATGAAAAATATAAACAGTGATAGACAGAGATGAAACATCAATTTACAGTTTTTAATATAGAAGATACGTCTTGTACTTCAAACTAATATGAGTTTGTCTTACATAAGATTTAATCAAATAGTACATTCCCCAAATTCATTAAAATCACCGTTACGGTATTCATTTCATCCTTCTGAATCGATCTTTAATGCCAGAAATATACGTTAAAGATTATCCATGACTGTAAAATGCATTATTCATAATATGGGCAGTCATAAAATTACTATATAAATATTTTTACATCTGCATCATGACCAGGGTTTTCCCTGGGTCAATTTTCTTTTTCGCTACCTCTTTCGCCAAATTAATACATTATTCGCCACTATCAATTTTTTTTTTCGCAAACAAATATAAACATATTTTCCTTTAAAATTCTTTCCAAAAAACAAACAAAAATCTGTTTGCTACATTGTTGTCTATTATAATTCTACATTTCTATTTTTTAATCTACATTGCAATAAATAAACACCCAATAATAACAAACATTTCCATTTTGAAAGATACTGTAAAATTGCAATATAGGTGATGAAATAATCATTTTTGACTTCTGCGAACACATGATTCATCTTCAATAAGTTCATCGGTTACTTCCCGTCTAGTTAAAGAATAAAGACTTAAGTCAGAGATTTTTATTACTTTTAAATATATTTCTTCAACAGTTTTGTTTTCCAGACCGTCATCAAAAGAAAAAGTCGAGACGTAAAACTAAGCTTCAAACACGTGCGTCGCTAAAACGATTGTAAAGTACCCACTTCAAAACAGTAACTTTTATCAAAGTTAAAGGATAGATAAAGTTTAAAGTCAGAAATTTTTCTTACCTTTGAACATTTTTCGTCATAACAGTTTTCTTTTCCGGACCATCGTTAGAAGAAAAAGAGGAGACGTAAAACTATACTTCAAATACGTGCGTCGCTTAAACGATTGTGTAGTACCCACTTCAAAACAATGATTTTAATCAAAGTTGTAAATAAATCCTTTATGTGACATGTGATGCCAGTTAACCACATCATTTCATTAAACAATACAATCAACACTTTTATCAATTAGTCCATTGTTGCCGATAGCTATAAAATGCAATCAGCTGATTATTCATTATCGAACACATGGAGACCCTGTATATTTGATATGGGTTTAGTGTGCGTGTTTTGTTTTAATATACGGTTATTAGTGGTGTTACGTCCCTTTTAAAAAATTTATAAAAACAATACGGCGTTGAGGGAAAATCTGAAACGTTTCCCACGGACATAAGATGAAGAAATTGATGATGAACGATTGAAAATAAATGCAGAAACACATTACAAGCTAACAACTTGTTATTGATGGCATTTGTTTTTGTATAGACCAATGACAGTAGGTTCTTAATATTGAAAACTGTATCACTTTGACATGCCACTAGTCTAAATGCCGCATGTTAAGGTAGTCGGTAAGATAAATTCGATACACAGTCTGCTAGTGACCTAATACGTAATATATTAGGTCACTAGCACACTGTGCAACTAACAATATAAATATATATCGTATTATGTCTATTAGTGATGCTTAGCGACACCATAAAGAATTACATAGTCGTTGAACTCGTTGCATATAAATGAGTTATCTGTCATAGAAAATAATTGCTTGATCGAGGATGTGTTTGAAAAGTTCTGTAGAATGCTGATTTACCTATTGCGTTATCAGTTAAAGAATTGACCACGTAGCTTTTTTCCATCTACAGTAATACTTAAAGGACGTAATTTGTTGCTGTTGTTAAAGATAAAAAGAAGATGTGGTATGATTGCCAATGAGACAACTCTCCACAAGAGAGTTGAAGGTCCATCTCAAATTAAATTGCTCTAAATTGTTACAAATGCAGCTTTTCTATTTATTTCTGGTAACAATAAAGTAACGAATTTTGGTGAATGACAGTGGATGGTTTTTCTTATTTGGGGTTTCTAAACAATCACCTTTTCCCCCTCTTATCTTTTACTGGAGCATACAAAAAGTTATTTTGGCTTTTTATTGCCCAACATAGACCAATTTACATGATATTATTCTTCAATGTTTTCACGTTACAAATTCCAATGCCTTTGTACACATTTGTCTGTAAAATACAAAGTTAAAGTATTGTTTTTGAATATCCAGAATCCATAAAAAAAAACTCCAGTAAATAAAACAGACCGTCATAAAGTGACGTCATTTACATACCTTATGGTTTTGTCAGTTTTTATGGACTCCCCCTTTTTTCAATTTACCTTAGTTACTGTGTAGCATCACTACCGGATATAAGTACCCCCGAAACAAAAAAACAATAAAGCAAACCGTATCTATTATGTCCCCCGTACAGTAAAAAAACTATTTGCAGGTACAATTTAACCACTTTATTCTCATGAATGTGTTTATCTCAAAATACTGTGTTGTTCAAGCTTAAATATGATATAACTTTGTTATGGGAAAACGTCAAATGAATAGTTGAAGGATATATGTTATTTAACAAGTTTGAACTCGTCATATGCTTCTTTGAACAGGTACCCCTTGTCCGATTCTAACGATTTGAAGAGAGAGAAAGGCAATTAAGGATCATAATCAGCCCTATATAGTAGCTACATTCTTAAGAATCAGTATCACAATACTTTACTTGTCAGTTAAATGTAAAATATAATGAAAATAAGAAAAATTTGACCTTACCTGACTTCACATTTGGTATATCCGGTAAGGATGCTACGCATTGTTGGAGTCTTGTTTTCAAGTTTTACACTAAAAAATAGTAAACATTTCACTCGATAGTATGATGATTTTGAATTTTAATTGGAAAAAGAGGGGCGGAAGATAGCCAAGGGATATTCAAACTCATAAGTCGAAAACGAACTAACAATGCCATTGTAAAAGGCGGAAAACGACCAAAAGACAAACAGAAGTCTACAAAACACAATATAGAAAACTTAAGACTGAGCAAATGAACCCCACAAAACAGGGAATGATCGCAGGTGCTCCACAAGGGTAAGCAGATCCTGCTCCATATATGACACCCGTTGTGATGCTCGTGTAAGTACAAATCATGTGGTAAGTCTCATTCCGTAGGTAACATTCGAAGAAAAGTGGACGGGATTGGGGTTACGACAATTGGAACATATCTGTTGTCATCTATGAAACAGATATTCTTTAACGGTCAACCAACTCGTGAATACGTCCGTATAATTTAGAAGAGATGACTTCATCTTCAACACTTAGAACGCTGGAT